CTAGAGTTGCAATTTTTTTTTCCTTTTCTTTTTTTATTTTGTTTGAATAGACGGGTATATTGGTCATTTCATGTCAAAAAATTGTGAAAAGGACGTTCAGCGCAAATAAATGTGAAAATTTGGGCAAAAATGTCAAAAAATGAAAAGTATGGATGTTTTCCACAATAACCTCAAAAGATAGGAACATTTTGTGCCAATTACCCTTTAGAAAAACTGTTTAACAATAAAATGCCAGAGACTCTTCAATAAAATAAAGTTGATATTCTTTTGAACTTGGGTATTGCTATTCGTCAATAATGCTTACCGATCATCATCATGTGAAATGTCGGCCATGATAACAAAAAGCATTATTAGTTTTTAACTCTATTTTTCATGGGGTACTTTTAAGTTTGGCTTTGTCAAATCAACCATTTTCCATTTTAACCAAAAAAATCTAACGTTCACCACAATGGCCATTTCTTGTGTAAAAGACAAAAACGCCCTTAAATGAGTTATATAATTACAAAAATAGAAATATGGTAAAAAGACAAAAATATCCTTAAGTTACAAATAAAAATCCAAACACTTCTCAATTGAAATTTGAAAACGAAATCAGTCTTTTCATCAGTTTACTCTAACACGATAAAAACTCTTTCATTTTTCATCCACTTCAACCTCAAAATTTCATAAACTTATCAGTTATCAACCTCAACAGAAAAATTTAGTTAAATTTCAGCACTTCAATTCGGCAAGTATCTTTTCCTAGTATTTAATTTTATTTTTATTGAAGTCGTATATTTTTTTTAAATGGTAGAAAAAATAATATTAGAGCCAAAATTCAGGCCGGCACCGATCTGACGCCGGAACTCGTTCGATAACGGACGAACGGACCGTCCGTTTGCAGACTCCCCTGCCCCTCGATTCTAATAATTTTATTTCTGATAATTTGTTCTGATATTTTTAATTCGTAATGCAGATATGGCAAAAGCATGTGTCCCAATCTGTTATTTCGACGAATTTCAAAGGAAAGAAAATGGTCAATGGGAATGGAAATGGACGAGTGAAGGAGAAGGGGTTGCTGCTATTTCGATAACAAAAAATACTTCGTTTACAGAAATGTACAGTGAAATACAAAACATGCTTAATGTCAATTCCTCTCAGTACGATATGAAATTGGGATTTTTATTTCAAAAGTATTCAACAATTTCGATTCCACCTTTGAAAGTTACTTCTGAAGTGCAAATAAAGCATCTAATTCAATTGAACCAAGGTCGAAAGACGACTCCTATTTGCGTAAGTTTGTTGAAGAAAAATGTCATCGAGGGTGAACACGAAGTTTTTGATGGAGAGGATCGTAATGAGAATGATTTTTGAGATACTGTTGAGATTGCTCGGGAGGATGATGTGGTTATTCCTGGGGCAGTTGCTACTCACCATGATGTCACCGTTACACGAAGGATTTACGAGGAAGTTCAAGACAACGAGGATGAAATGCCATTTACAAATCAGGATTTGATTGCTTTATCCAGACAGAGACATGAGTCTGGTGGGAGCTCACATGCTGGGCCGAGTACACGGTCTTCTAATTGTTCGCGTGTAGTTCCTGATGATGAAGATTTACATGTCGATCAATTGTTTGACACGAAAAGAGATTTGCAAGAAGCCATGCACCGAATTGCAATGAAACATAATTTTGAGTTTAAGGTAAAAAAATCAAACAAGTCTACATACACAATTATTTGTGTGGACAACAATTGCAGTTGGCGTTTGAGTGCGACAAAGATGGACACAAATGAGTTCTTTGTTGTTCGTAAGTATGCGCGGGAACATACTTGTGAAGTAGGTATTCGTCAAAATGATCACAGGCAAGCTCGATCATGGTTTATTGGTCGACAGATAATACACAAGTTTCAGGATCCATGGACGGTTTACAGACCTACAGATATCATCAACGACATCCGTCGAGAGTATGGGGTGGTTATGAGTTACCAGAAGGCCTGGAAGGCTAAAGAATGTGCATTGGAAGATTTAATGGGTTCGACAGAGGAGAGTTATGCCAAATTGGCCAGGTATTGCCACAACATGGTGAGAAGTAATTCTGAATCGACGTTTTTTATTGAAACCGATGGGCAGAATCGCGTCAAGTATTTTTTTATGGCTCTTGGACAATGCATTAGAGGTTTTCAAAATGCGATGCGACCTCTAATTCTAGTTGATGGTACAACCCTTAAAGCTAGATATGAAGGAAAGTTGATTATTGCTACTTGTCAAGATGTCAATATCCAAATTTACCTTCTTGCATTTGGCATTGTCGATGGAGAGAATGATCTAGCAATGCGTTGGTTCTTCAAGAAGTTGAGAGAAGTAATTGGGAACATCGAGAACCTTGCATTTGTGACTGACCGGGGGCAGTCAATAATAAATGGTATAGCCGAAGTTTTTCCAGAAGCACATCATGGTTATTGCATGTACCACATTCAGGGCAATCTGAAGACTAGGTACCGGGGCAGTGGCATCGTTGCATTGTTTAGGAGAGCTGCAGAAGCTTACAGTTTTAAAGAGTTTACAAAGTTCATAGGCGAAATAGAACATAAATCAGAAAGTGCATGGGGATATCTATCAGATATGGGGGTCGAACATTGGGCACGGTCACATTTTCCAGGACGTCAATATAACATGATGACGTCGAATAATGCAGAGTCGCTCAATGCATTATTCAAGAAGGATCGAGAGTTACCGATTCTCGCAATGATTGAACATATTCGTAGCAAGTTGCAACAGTGATTTTATGACCGACGTGAAGAATCCCAAAATTGCACGAGTGTGCTAGCTCCGGCACAGGAAGATCGACTATTCAAAACTCTGGAAGTGGCAAAAGCTCTATTTGTGGAACCACTAGATCAATTTCGCTTCTCCGTGAGATGCGGGCGTAATGTTGGATACATTGTAGACTTGAATGACAATACCTGCACGTGTAGAAAATTTCAGTTGGAAAGTTTTCCATGTGCACATGTTGTCGCAGTGGCTATGTATAGAGGATTTCCACCACACAGCTTGTGCAGTCATTATTATATGACTGATTTTTAGAGAGCAGCGTATGCCGAAACTATATTTCCTCTACCAAATGAAGCCTAGTGGGAAGTTCCTGATTATATTGTAGCACTTAATAATTTGTTGTCACCTAAAGCTCCACCGCGTACTCCTGGTCGTAGACGGACGTCTAGAATACCATCTACAGGAGAGTTTCCACAACCGCGTAAGTGCGGGAGGTGCGGCGCTACAGGACATACACGTCGATTTTGTACAAGTCAGATCCCACTAAACAATGACTCGACGGATGTGTAGTATCTATATAAATCATATGTATTATCTATTTGTCATGTGTTTGTGATTTTCTGAATTTAAATCGGATGTAATCTTTATCACATTGTTTAATTACTCTTTTTAATCTTTATCACATTTGTCATATGTATTTCTATGTGTCATGTATTTGTTTGTTTTCTTTTAAAACAAGTGAGACAACGATATATATTAACTAACAATATGGAGAGATTACTATTTTTTTAATTAATTATCTTAATTGGTTAAGTAAAAAAAATATTTCGTTAATCATGTGTTTTATTTATTTCATATTTAATTACTCTATTTCGATTATTTATTTGAATAAAAATAATAATATTTATTCGATTTTTCGTTTTACTATTTCTTTAATTAATTATCTCAATTGGTTAAGTAAAAAAAATATTATTCAATTTAATTTATTCGTTAAATATTTCGTCAATTATGTATATTATTTATTTCATATTTAATTACTCTATTTCGATTATTTATTTGAATAAAAATAATAATATTTATTCGATTTTTCGTTTTACTATTTTTTTAATTAATTCTCTTAATTGGTCCCCAAAATTTGCAATTAGGTCCCCAAAATTTTTAAAACCATTTTCAACCAAACATTACATGAATCAGACATCTTTGTTTCAATTGAATCCAGCTGAGTCCATTTAATTCTCGATTATCGTTTTATGTTTCGAATCAACTATTAAAAAGTTGCAATTAGGTCCCCAAAATTTTTAAAGCTTTTTTCGAACCAAATATTACATGAATCGGTCATTTTTTTTCCAATTGCATCCGATTGAGTCCATTTAATTCCCGATTATCATTATATGATCCAAATCAACTATTAAAAAATTACAATAAATATACAAATAAATTAAAATTTTGAGTCACAATTAAATAAAAAAAAAATTTACATTTTCAAAAAAATATCATACAATATACTCTATTTCGATTATTTCTTTCTTTCAGTACAACACGAATCCTACTGATGTAAACAACATTTACATTTTAATAAAATAATATACAATGCACTAAGGATCACAGTTATATTCATACAAGTCGCAAGCTAATTTATGCCTCCACATATCAATCCAAGACTGATTTATTGTATCAACATTGCGATCAATGCTCAAGAACTTTATGTACTTGATTGCAAATAAGCCACAGTCACCCCTGCAACCGAAGTATAATATATTAGTTCCATAACATATAATTGAAAATTAAATCTGAAAATTAAAAAGTTGTAAATTCTTACGATCTTTCTTGTCTCGCCGTCGTCATGTTCCGCACAATGGCTAATCTATCATTTACTCGAATCATCGCATGACTAGCCATCATGGGCACGATCACAACCAATGGCTCCAGTATTTGCTCCAGTTGACTTTGTGTCAGACAGCTATGATCAGAGTCGTACACATATATGGTGGAATCAGCAAATACGATCTCCACCGAAAAACAGTGTGAGTTCGCGATCACTGGAATGTACATATGTGTACAATCCGTCCACGACTTTCCGCACCTCAACTGTAGTCCAATCACCCACTCTAGCATGTACTTAGACAGAACATAATCATTCCCCTTGCTTAGGAGCTCGTGATGCTCAATATCTACGACACGAACGAACTCAGAGTTCAGGATAACTCCACTAGGACTATCATAAGATCTCTGGTATCTCCGCGCCTGATCGCGTAACAATTTCATAACCAAGTCGATATGCTGAAACAAAAAAACACCAACAAAAAAGATAGAGTCATTTAAGTAAATGAACCAACAACTTCTATAAATATAATAAACGGAAACTCAAAAAACTTACATCATCAGCGAGCCAAGCTGAGGTCGTCAGTACATCTTCAAACCACTTTTTAGCATTGGGCACGGTCATACAGCCGATGGTATAACTATCTCTGAAAAATGAAAATACAGTTACGAAAAATACAAAAAAATAGTAGCAAAATCATAAAATACTTACTCGGACTTAAGGGATTTGAACCAATCATCGAAAGCCTTCTGTCTGACTGGGTCGACGTCGCGAAAAAGATTGGGGAACGCCCCATCCACAAACCCCCTTCTCTTCGCCTCGATCGTGTATGGAGAAACTATGTACTGTGACGACAATCTTGATCTCTTACCGACCATTAGCTCTGGTGCGTCAGTAGCACGCTTCTTACCCTTCGGGACCTCCGTCGCCCCCTCCAACACGAATACTACCTCGTCATCCGTCATCTCTGGCGTCCTTCGCAACCTGATCATCCCCCTCTACTACCACCTCTGATGTCCCCTCCGCTACCTCCTCGGCCACCCCTGTCCCTCCCTCCACCCCCTCTATCTCGGCCTCCTCTGAGACCTCCACCCCGGGCATCCCGGCCTCCTCCGGCTCCTCCTGCCCGACCTCCACCCACTTCCTCCCGGCCTCCAGCACCGAACCAAAAAACTCATCGATTCCTGCAACCGTTGCCCACCAATCTCGAGGGACACCAGTCTCCCCGACATTCCCTCGGACGCCTGCTACATCGCCTCGAAGTGCTGCAACCTCAGTATGAAGGTCT